CCGGGTACACAAAAAAAAAAAAAAAAAAAAAAAAAAAAAAAGAGTGTAGAGAATGGTATGGATATTATCTTTATATAGGGAGGTCAGAAGAGCCTCTCAGATAAAGACATTTTTTTGGCCCAACCTAAAGCAAGTGAGAGCAAGGGATGTGGATACCTGGGCCAATGAGAACCTCAGGCAGAGAGAAGATAAAGAACCAAGCCCTTGATGTCAGGGGGCGCTGGGTAGGTATGATGAACAAGGAGGACAGGGTGGCTGGAATAGAGACAATCGGCAGAGATGGTAGGACGAGAGGTCCAAGAGGCTGAGGGTGGGGAGGGGAAGAGGACTTGTCTCAGAGGACCTTGTTTGCAGGTTAGAGACTCTGGATTCTGTCTTTGGTGAGACAAGAAGTCTCTGGAGGGCTTTGACAGAGCAGTGACATGAGGAAGGGAAACAGATAGGAGCCTGCCGCACCAGTCAAGACAATGGACGATGGTGGCGTGGATCAGGTGGCCAATATAGAACGAGTTCAATAATTCTAATACGCTGCTCCACTCTCCATTTTCCTTAAAAATATCCCTTTAACTGGCATTTATTGAACATCTACTAAGTAAGGCTTTGGGCTGGGCCATTTTACAGATGTTAACCCTACCCTAGTGTGCAGACCCTATGATAAAATATATTAAAGCTCCAAGAAAGTTTGAAATCATCTATTGCAACCTCATTATTTTACAGATGTGGAAATAGAAACCCAGAGAGATGAGATGATTTATCCAAAATCATATACCTCGTTAGGTCAAGAGAAGGGCCCAGGACTCAGTTTTCCTTACTTTACAGAAGAGGACATTCAAAATCAGCAGTTGTACTAACTTACAAAGATAACTTATGGTGCCCTTATTTATCCCCCTTTGCCTCTTCTGATTTAAAAGTAACGACACAAAACTTCTTTCACACATGTCCTCATTAGGTTCATGTTTATGAGAATCATTTCTAAAATGAGCATTTTTGAAGTTTCTAAAATAACTCTTTGCCTTAGGAAGTCTATATAATTGACTATTGCCATAATCTATTGACGGGCAGTTCTGCAAATCTATCACTGGTAGAAAAACCACCGACCTTCTCTAGTTATTTTAGTATGCCAATCTCTTACCAAAATAACTCCTGTAGATTAAAAACAGTATCTGTCAGATTGAGAAGATGGGCTCAGTCTGCCTGACCGATAATCGGCGATTCCAATAACTTAGTACACTGCCTGTTCCCAAGGAAAGGAAGACGTGGCATAGAGTCGTTCTTGAGACAAATAATGGATCTAGAATCGTGAACGGTATTTTATTTTTCATGTAAACAGGAAACTTCATGAGATATTTCCAACTACTGTATTTTCTTAATTTTGTATAACTTGGAGAAATTAAGAAGGAAATAAAGCTCGTTGAAGATAAAGCAGAACTTGAAAAGAACACTCCGATTTGTGTCCTGAGTCTAAGTGATGAGGTGGACTTCCTGTTATGAACTATTCCTCTTCCCTTCCCCCTCCAGTTCAAGCTTGTATCTGACTTTCGGTCCTCTGCAGTCACCCCTGAGCTTAAGCCTTCCTCCAGCACCTTGAAGCAGGACCGTCAAAAGGCTATAGCTTTCATTTTTCTCTTGGAAAACTTGGAAGAGATTTTAAGGCCTTGAGGAGCTGAAATATACCCCTGGCCTAGTAAGGACATTTTATAAAATTGACAAGTGGGCAGTCAGGCTGGCTCCTGAGATCAGCAGTAGGGCTCCATGTAATGTAATGAGTGTGAAAAGAGCCATTTCCCAATCATCTTGTTCATTCCACGCACGTTAGGAAAGAGGAAAATTAAACTGAGGGCCAATTCTCCCCTAAGAATTCTTTAGTTTAATTATGACCACAGTATATGAAATGTCTGTAAGGTGTCCACTCTCAGCAGTGACAGGAAGAGAGGAAACCCTTTCCCTACTAAAAAGACAGGGAAGGATGCTCTTATGGTTCTAAAACATGATTGAAAGTTCAATTTAACCGATGACCAGGCCACTGCGCTTCTTGTAAATGAACATCTTTTTGCTGCTAATTTTGTGCTATTTTACTTTTCATTAAAAGAAGTAATTCAGGTTAAACTCAGCTGAACAGCAAAAAGCTCTTGGTATTTTGAAGCATTTTGAACAATTACTTTGACAGGAGCCCTTGACAGTTAAATGACTCCGTTAAATGAATGTTACAGAAGACACATAATGATTTTTAGTGAAATATTGAATTGAACCACAAATGAGGAAAAACCAGTCATAAGCACTATGGGTGTATTTGAATAATAACATCTTGCTTATGAACCTCAATGGATTCTATAATTTCTAATAATCATGCAATCAACTAGTGAGCTGGTGAGTATGTTTCCTATCTGAGTGCCCTCTATTCATTTTTGCTTTTTGCTTTTGTTACTGTTTTTTAATCTGAGAAACCATGTGAAAATTTTGAAACTGGCAATAATTTCCTCTTACATCAGTATGATATTTTAGACTTAGGCAATTAATGAGTCTCTGTCTCACAGCTGAAGTCTTCCTTTTTCCTTTCTCTCCTCTGCTGAATGAGATTCTTTCACAAAGTAAAAAATCAGCAAAAGGCAAGAGCCTGAGAACATGTGAATTCACTGTATGCTAGCGTTTCCTCCATCCACGGGACTCAATATTCCTTTTCTTATCTTATGGATCGAACGTGAGATACTATCAAGACCTTTACATGTTTTTTCATGACTAACGACTGAAATATGTACTGAAATAATAAAACGGGTGCTGTTCAATTTCCTTTTTAAATTCAATTCCAATATAAGTGAGAGTGCCCTTGTGATGGGGAAATCCGGCTTATTAGAAAACTCTGTTTTCTGGAGAAGAGGAGCTAGAAATCCTTGTAGACTTAAAACATGTGGGCGAGGAGAGGTGGGGGAGGACACTGGGATTGAAGAAATGAATCAGAAAACCGGGAACGTTCTTTATCTCGGTTGCCTGGCAGGCGGAGGTGCCGAGCAAGCAGCTCAGCACCCTGGGAGGCTCTGCGCTTCCTGATTCTTCCAAGCAGGTGAGGTCCAACCTCCCCGACGTCCCCATGGCTCCCTGCACTCAGGCTCCCTGCACTCAGCGGCATTCAGCAACTGTCTATTTCCACTTTCACAGCCTACTTAAATGTCTGCTCCCCACTAGACAGTCACTCCTTGAGGACAGGGAGTGTCTTTTCATCTTGCATCCCCCAAATTTCTGAGCCATGATAAGCTGGTCAGTAAATGTACTTTTTTTTTTTTTTTTTTTTTTTTTTAGTAAATGTACTTTTGAACAAAGTACTTTTAACATTTAACTCCTTCAGCTGACAGTCAAAACACGTAGGAAAGGCCAGATAGCTTAACTATCTGATACTAGTTAAAGGCAAGTCCAGATACACAGCAAGCTGCCTAAATTAGGTATTTCCTATAACCCTGCTAACTCAACTGTGGTCCATAGAGCAGCAGCAGTGGCATCACCGGGGGAGCTTTCCAAACACCACATCTCGGGCCCCACCCCAGGCCCCCAGAATCAGAATCTGCATTATAACAAGATCCCCAGGTGACCTGTGCACAGTGAAGTTTGAGAAGCATTTACCTAGGATACATGGCCAGTATGATGCCTGAAGAAGTGATGGTGTGTAAGATGGAGAAAAAACCAAGATACTTCACACTCTTTCCTGTTTAAAGACACAGCTGCTCTTAATAATTGTCTTTTCCCCTTGGTGCAAAGAGAGTATTTATCATCAGCTTGCTGACATTTGCAGGAGTTTTGGCTTTCTCCAACTGAAAATGTGGATGATTGAAAGGATATTGCTGACACCTGAATGAGAAATCCAATGACTCCAAGCTATGTAAATTTAATTATTTCCTTTAATTCTTTTTTCAGGAATCTCTTTTTCTTTTCCTGAGCTTTGGTAGCAATTTTCATTTAAAAGAAATACAAGTCAGCAGTGGTTCACTGAACAGGCTGACACGCAATTTCATAGGGGGAGAGGCGCTGTGTGTTTAATCTAATTTGTGCTCTCAATTCCCAGCTAATGTATCTAGGGACCCTGATGTATGCATGTACAAGGAGACATCTATAATGCAGAGTCCAGCACTCTGCAGCTCTCTGAAGCACGGCTAAAAAATCAGTCTGGGTTCTTGCAGCTGCCCTACAACATGATAAATCTCTGTATACTCACAGATGTAGAAATATTCCCGGCCTGGTCTGAATTCAAATCCCAGGGAAAAGGGTGTGAAGAGCTGGAATTTTTCAGAGAACTTCAGTGGTCCATTTGGAGAGTGAGGCCGGTTACATTCCCATCTCTTGAACCCTTTGGAAGTATGGTCGCAGGCACTGTAGCCATCAAAGTTCACCATGTAGAGGACATAACGCTCAGTCTTATCTTCCGGGACTGAGTCCTCATAGTGAGGGCAGAACACATCCAGGTAGTCATTGATACAGACGTCAATGTGGTAGTCACCCCTCTGAAATCTGTTGGAAGAAGAAAAAGATAGGATTATTCATAGAGGAAAGGCTTCCTGCTTGGAATCAGTGGTTGAACCCATTAATAACGCTCAGGCTAAAGATTTATTATAGTAAGTTTTTATTTGGTGCCATATGATTTGAGGCATGGTTTGAATTGTTGCTGTTCCAAATCTAAATAACAGCATGCCATTTTACAGAGGAATTCTATTACCGTTGTTTCAAAGTACCCTACCAATGGAGCGCTTCACGTTCATTTTAAGTATTAAAGGTACTGATTTGCTGTTTTCCTTCCATTGTTAAAATCAGAGTTTTCATATTCCTAAAATAGTGTTTCATTTAATAAATGTTTTTGAATAAATGAGTGAGAAATTTAAAGAATAAATGAATTGTTTTTGTTATAACTGAGACCATTCTTAATTTCCTATGCAACTGTGGACAATTAGAGTGATAAAATTGAGAGAATTAGAATCATAAAATTTAAAAGTTGAAAAGAAAATTCCTAGAACAACACTTCCACTTTAGAGGAAAGTAAAACCCTAAGGCATAATGATGAAGCAATGAGCCACTGAGCCAGACCTGGAACCAGGACTTAGGATCCTAGTTAGGTGTTTCCCTTAGTAAATCTGCTTTTGTCACAAACTCGTTTTAGCCAATCTCTGTTTTGATGCCCTCGCCCTTTCCCTATTAAAGTGAAACCATCTAGGTCGAATGACTTTTCTGCCCATTTCTTTCACTTTCACAGGTTGTGTTCTAGGGCTGGACTGAGGAGTAGAGAAAGTAAGAAGTCAGATGAAAACAGCAAAACCACGGCCGCTTCATCCTGAAAGAGTTAAAATGTGTGCACACAAACACACCACTGCCCACATCACAGTGTCTGCTTCAATTCTTATCTTAAAAAAGTTTTGCTTATTTGTTTTAACTAATGTGCCTTTCCCCATCAACTGAACAGTTGTTCCCAGGACCCAGTGGTGTGTGAAACAGGAACTGTTATGTACACAACTTTCTAAAATCAGAGTGGAAAAGCCTACAAAACCCCTTTGTTTTTAGCTGGTGAGGAAATTCTTCTCTGAGCCCTTAGGAGGGTCATCACAAAACTATGTCACTGCTGAAATACAATGCCCATAAAGTCATAAAATCTTCAAGTCAGACAGTCTCAGGGAGAACCCTTCCCAGTGACGGTGAGCTAGTCTATTCTATCTTTGGATATCTCTAAATGTTAGCAAGTTTCTTCTTACATTGAGCATAAATCCACTTCTGTGTAATTTCTATCCAGTGATCCTACTTCTGCTGCCTGAAATTACAAAGAGCAAATCTAATTCCTCTTCCACCAGGTAGTACATAAAACATTCGGAGATGTCAGCTGTCTCTCTCTCTGTATCCTCCTTTCTCCAGACTTGAAAATCCTGATTCCTTTGGTTATTTCTGGTATAGTTTCCAGACTCCTCATCATACTAGTATTCTGACCCTCTTCACATCTTCTAGTTTCCCAGTGTTCTCCTTGAAATGCAGTACCCACATATAACAAGGACCTCTGACAGGTTGCTGTGAATACTACCTTTGCTCTGGATGCTAAATATTCATTGCCAAAGTCGAGATTCCCTTCTGAAATACACCGCGGTAAAAGTGGAAGAGCTACTTATTTTGAGTGAGCAGAACTAGATCTGCTCCTGGTTGAGTAGGAGAGTCATAAGCCATCCTGAGCCTCAGTTTCCTCACATGTTAAGTAGAATAATAACGAGAATCTTCCTTGCTGACCTCACACAGCTGCTTCAAGCCTCAGATGAGGAAATGTATGAAAAGCACACGTGAATATAAAGCACTGTTACTATTAACAGGATACATTAAAACGGGTAAGTAACAAAGTATTACTTTTTTCAACAATGGCAGTAAGAGTATACAACAGAAATAAAAATAATCCCCAGGTTTCCCCTTTTAAAAATCCCAGAAGAAAGGAAATCATATAAAAATCCTAAATTCTGTCCTTCCTCAAATATCAAATGATCCCCAGAAACTCCTCTTGCTCTGTGCTTCTGAAAAGCAGCATGTTGATTTATGCAAGCGAAATAAGGAAAGATGATCAGATCACTTCTCAGTTAGAGGATCTCAAAATACATAACCATTTTTAAAAACAAGAAAACCCTCAGAAGTATTTATTTCTTTATATCTACAGTGATGACGAAACCAGGTTTTCTTTTTCTTCATTACTGGCAGACAACGATTTGTCAAGATACAAGGAAAGCCTGTGATGCTTTTAAAAGATTTTTGCACATCAAGGTAACATCACTGCCAAAGTACAAAGAAAAGACACTGCAACGTTCAGATAAAAGGGTGCTGGGATGTGAATCATCAGCACTCAGAGTAGGCTGACAGTTCTGGCTGAGAGCCAGACAAGAACTGCAGCAGAAGGCAATGCCCAGATGCACTTTATATTATTATATTATTATTAAAGAGTTTAAAGACATTCAAGGGGGAAGTTTTTCCTTTCCCTAAGTGTCACTCATCTTAGCTTCTACTGGCACTGGACACTGCTTAAAAGTGAAAATTAAGAAAACTGCCACTGTCTGGACCCATGTGGTTATTGCTTTATTCTACAAATTGTCCTAGTTTTCTGGTGCCTCAAGTTTAGCTCCCCTTTTTCTACACTTTTATCCCTGTTAATTCTGCTATAATTTTAATAAAGCAAACCATGAGACTGAAGAGCCATTTTACATTGGGTTGACCAGTTATCCTTTGCTGGCGACAATTTACTTTGTGTGGGGTGTTAAGTGAATCACTGTGGAGCCAATTTTAAACATGAGATTGTCCCAGCAATTAATGCTCATACCCTTCTATGCACATGACAAAGAAATGATTATGATTTACCATAGAATCAACTTACACTTCTGTTTCAGATATTCAATTTGCATAAATTATTTTACTAATGTAAATTTCAAAAAAAAAAAAAAAAAGTGGACAATGTGAACATAAAAACAGTGACCAACTGGAACTCATAAAAGGCATCTGTATAATGTAGCTACGTACAATCCAAAGAAAAGTTGAGAGCTAGATAGACTAAGAGTATCCCAAATTATGCTCTTTGACTACAAAGTCACACTGAATCATTCTTTTCTGGCCTTACTGTGGAGAAGCACATAGGTATGGCTAATATTACTGAGTGGTTATTACGTTACATTCATTATCTCAATTTAATCTCCATCACAACGCCACAGAATAGACACAATTAGTACACCCAGTTAGAGATGAGGAAACTGAGATTAAGAAGTCAAGCAACGTGCCCGGTGTGACAGGAATAATAAAAGGTGGAGGCGGAATTCAAACCCAAGCAGTCTGACCTCAGAAATGAGATTTAATTGCTAAAGTCAAGTTCTTAGGTCCACTCTGTATTTCTCCAGAGGGATAATTCTCATTCTTTTCTTTTTTCTTTTCTTTCTTTTTTTTTTTTTTTTT